TAATCTTCAAAAATTCGAATTGGTTATACGTGCACCTTTAAATAGCGATAATTTACAAGGTATGAATGATGTCTTAGCGAATCTCTTTACCATGATGTCTCAATACGCCACAAATATTCAAGAAATGAAAATTCAATCTTACACAACTGGATTGCCAGCGAAAGTTCATGCCAGCCTTTACAGATTAATTGAATCACAGAGAACACTTCAGTCATTTATGTCAAATTATTTCTGGAATGCTTCAAGTCCTTCGCTTTTTACCGCTTTGTTAAATCAGTCACATTCATTAACTCGGTTTCGTCTCTGGGGTTTAACACATTTCGATGATTCTTTAATACTCGGATTATTAGAATGGAATGCCTTGGAAGTATTGGAATTAATGGGATGTCCAGATTATCCTGTGTCTGCAAATTTTACAAAAGGCCAACTAAGAATTAGGAATCTCTATATCGGCAACGGCTACTGTTCATATCCTTTTATAACAACAAATTTAATCAAGATGATAAATTTGAATCTTCAAAAATTAGTGGTAGAAGGTGCAACTCCGGAAATTATAGATGCGGTCACAATAAATTGTCCACAACTTACACATTTATCGCTCTGTGCTTATCAAGATATATTTGAATCTCTTCCGAGATTACTTTCAGCACTTTCTTTGCTAGAAACACTGATTTTAGGAAATCAAGAACAATTTATATTTACAGATGATACTATATTACAATTTTCACAATCAATTCCACCTTCACTATGCGCATTATTTCTAAACTTTAATATTTCATCACAATCATTGAGAGTACTTTTAACAGAATGTCCAGCACCACTTCATAGGTTAGAATTACATCAGATGCAGAATAAGGAATTAGAATTGTTTTCTATTCTGATTCAATACACACAAGATAATAAGTATTTAAAAGAGTTGAAACTATATTTGGCTCATTCAAATAGTTATACGGATCCTGTTAGTCTAGATGTTTTGAGAAACGCAAATAAGTATTTTACTATTGTTAAACAAGACACTACTAGAAATTCTTATAATCTTTGGTGATATTCCATCCTATTAGTTATTGAATGATGTAGTTATTTTTGTCTTTTTGTTATATAATTGGACACATTTTTTGAATTGTACATAATTTTTTCAAAAAAAAAAAAAAATGTATAAAATAAAATCCGCCTGTACAAACTAAATATCGATAAAATTCAGTTACACGAGCACAAAAATATTTTTATCTATAAATATATTTAATTTTTAACTATAATCTTTTTAGCTTTCAAAATGGTTGTCGAGTCAATTTCAATACCACCACTTCGTAGAACTTCTTTAAAAACCCCAATTACGCCCTTGACGCCTGCAGAAGATAATCCAATTTCACTCAAAGTTTCAAAAATTTTAATTTGCCCTATCGATGACAGTAAAACCAAATCTGCATTGGAAGCACTTTCGGAATTTTATACTTCAAATTCTGTAGTTGAACGTAGAAATTTGAGAGGAAATATCGAACAAAAAGCTATCGAAACCAATAGAAATTTTCTTGAGATTTTTGGTAAAGTTACGGAGGTATTAATAATTGCTTACTGATACTTTTAATAAATCAATCTTTTTTTTATTTTATTACTGAATAACTTTATCCATTTATTTATCTTCGTTAATTCTTAATTGTCTCAGCAATTAGCAGCTATAGAATCGGAAATTAAGAGCATGAACAATTTTTGTGATGAGATTAGCAAAAGCCTGGATTCTGCAAATCGTAAAACTGCGTTATTATTGGAACAAAGCGACAGTCTAAAGTCACAACGGTATTTGTCGTATACAGAAAAACTAAAATTGTACTGATAATTACAATACTTATTTAAATAATCATTCATTGTAGAGAAAGTTGTAAGACTCGCAAGATTTTGATAGACGCATTTCTAGAAAAATTTACACTCTCTGAAAAAGAGGTCGCAACCTTATCGTCTCCTGATTCAGAAATAGGCTCAGAGTTTTTTGAGGCATTGAAACATCTGCAACAAATTCACGGCGATTGTGATGCATTATTGATTACAGAAAATCAAAG